TAATTTCAATATAAAACTTAGTCTACTCAACACTTTGACTTATAATTTATAAAAACTTGATAGTTTTTATAAATAATATTATAGTATGATTCAGTTATGCTAATTTTTTTTTTTATTTATTAGAACAAAAAATTTATATCGACAAAAGATGAAAAAAAGATTTTAAACAAAATTTAATTTTATTTTTTTTTATAAATAATATAAAAAGTTTATAGAACAATATTCACAACAAGATAATTAGAAATACTTTGTATATTAAATCTTTATATAGAAAAATTGTGTATTTAAAATTTTGTATATTTTAATCTTTGTATAAAAATTATTTTAATAAAAATAAATTTTTATTTTATTATAATTATTACTCATAATATGATTTTTTTTAATATAAGTAAATAAACTACTTGGTATATAGTTCCCAAGTAGTTTATTTAAAAGTAATTAATTTTAGATATTATTCCTGGTCTAAACAAACTAAGTAAATATCAAATCAATAATTATTTAGCTCTAATTATTGATAAGTTAGTTGATTTTGCTTCTAGTATAGATTTACTAGCAATATTTGAATATAAAAAAGAATGCAAAATTTATATCATATTGATTCTATTATCAAATGATATTCTAGCTACAAAAAAGATTTGTAGTCATATAAGTCATACAGTAAAATGTTATTGCTGTCTAAAACATACAACATATGATAATTTATTTAAAAAAAATCACTATAGTAGTTTTGAAAATATGGATGAATAGTTTAATCTAGTAGATATAACAAAATATTTTGATGTAGTGAAAGAATAGTTAAATTATACAAATAAACAGAAAAGAAATGATTATATATCTAAAATAGAAATAAAGTATATATTCTAAAAACTTTTTCTGGTTCATCACCAGAAACTAACAAACTACAAAATTTTATCAAAAATCTCTACCAAACTTTCACAAAATTTAGGAAAAAGAGCAGTTGCCCAAACTACAAGAAAAAGAAAACCTCTGCTCCTAACTATGAGTGGTTTGTTAACAAAAAGATCTAAGACAGTAGATACAAGAACCAAAAAAAAGATCTTTGACTTGTCTTCGCCAACTGAAAAAAACTAGGAAACAGATAACAATACTTCCAAGAGAACTTATAGAGATAACCAAAGCTCCTCTAAAACAAATAAGCAAAAGGCAGAAGACATACAAGCTAACTTAGAAGACCCTTCTCTGAAAAATAAAGAAAAAAACAAAAAAATTTTTCTTATAGAAAACAACAAAGAAAATAATACACGTGAGATGGAAAAAAATCCAGAAAACAAACAAAAATATATAAACATTATACGTAACTTGTCAAACACAACAAGTGCAAATAAACTCAACCAAAAATTAAATGATTAACAACCTGATCAAGCCAAAAGCAATCCTCCCAAAATTAAACAATGGTCTGACTTATTCTCTAAACTGAAAGGTGACAAAGCTATATTTATTAATATGACCCCAAGATATAGAATCCATTCTAAGAATGAGAATACTCTAATCTTTGATATTCAAGACCTCTTGAATATCTCAACTAATGATATTATTCTAGCTCTTGCTACAAAATTAGGTAACAATTTACTTGCTGCGAAAACCTACTTATCTAGAAGGAAATGTATATACCTTGAAGTAGTCTTTGCTAGCAAAGAGATTCAACAAAGATTTATAACAGAGGGGATCAATGTCTTTAACCAAACTCTCTTTAGTTATATCCCAATTAACTTCAAATGAAGCTTTCTCTTAGTAAAGCTAAGAAACATGCTTATAGGTGATAAAGTTTCTATTAATAACTTAGTTAAAGATGCTTTTCAAGATATAGACACAATTGCCTCCATAAAACTATTAACATATGAAGGAACAACAGTCTGCTCAAACCAATGAATAATCACTTTTGAGACAACTGATGATCTTGACCTTGCTCAAAAAATTCCAAGACAAACCCATATTGGTGATCATAAAATTACAACTGATTGAAAAGAAGCACTTAAAGTTTGCTACTATTATGAAAAAATAGGCTATATTAAAAAAAACTATGAAGAATTCTAATTCTCAGTAGACCAGAGACAAAAACAAAAAGAATTAAAAAGGTTAAGAGAAAGCAAGTTTGAAAACTAGACTAATGCTAATATCCAATCTAGCTTCAGCTCAGATAACCCTTATGTCACTGATATGGCCATTGAAGATCCTAATAGCTCAGCTGAATTAGATAATACACCTACAACTTCCAATTCACAAACTGATAAAGTTCAACTTATGAACTCAAAGAATAATCTTAATAGATTACCAACATCAAACAACAACACTATTTCTACTTCGAACCAAGATTCAGATAAAGAAATAAAAATGGAAACACATTCTTCAAACATAGTTACAACCTCTGAACTTGAAGAAAATATACCTAATGCAAAGAAGGCAAAACTGCATCTGTATTGACAAAAAAGAAAAAAGGAAATAAAAAAAAGCTTCAAGCTTCAAACAATGGAATCCAAATAGCAGAAACTGAAGCCATTTCAAAAGAGGCTTCACAATTACAAGATTAATAGCAACACTACTATACATATGGCTAATAGCTTTATTAATATCTTAATTTCTCTATATGATTAAAATTGTCACACTAAATATCAAAAGTCTTAACAATATTGTTAAGGCCTAAAAAACTTTAATACTATTAAAATCTTACAAACTAGATCTAATACTACTTCAAGAAACAAATCTAAATGACTTAGCAACAAGAAAATTTCTCTCATAATAATAGGGATATGACTCAGTTTGGTTAGCCAAGGCTGCTACTTTAGCTAGCAAACCGAACATAAAATTTAATAACAAAAAAATTTCTCACAATGACCAAGTGATTATTGTCAGCTTCTCTTTTAAACAACAACTATTTATAGTCACAAATATTTATGCACCCCCAAGTTAGGAACAAAGATGTCAATTCTTCAACAATTGGACTCCAATAGCAAATGATAATACTCTATATATGGTAGCAGGTGACTTTAATACAAATCTTGATCCAGAAATTAATCGCATAAGCCAAACACCTCTACACAATGATGAATCAAAAGACCAATTCAAAGAATTAATAAAAAACTTTATTGATACTGCTAATTTCACGAAGAATGATCCTTTCATTACTTTCTACTAGAACACACAAAACAACTAATAAATGGCAACATGTTTAGATTATATATTTGTTAATACAAGTTTTGGACAACTTAACTTTGAAACCTTAACTCGATATAGAAATTCTGACTATCTTCTAGTAAAAAGCAAAATCAATCTCAGGTCTACTCACAAACCTATAGCCTATTAGAAATTTGATAAGAAATTCTAATCTAATAATATGTTAAAAACTAAAATTCTAACAGAAATTAAGAATATCAGTAATATCAAAAACTAGGACCTTCATAAATGCATTATCTAGTCAATAATTAGAGCATACAAACCAGCTTCTGCTCCAGAAAAAAATATGCAATGTTTACATAAGAAACTTAATAAGCTCAACATCAAATTGGCTACAAATCCTGAGCAAAGTGATTTCCATCTTATAACTGAGTATTTAAAAACTCAGATCTAAGAAAAATTAATATTACTCTTCAAAAAGTGGCAAATAAGGTCTAATACAAAGTGGATCGAAGATGGTGAAAAATCAACTAAATACTTCTTTTCATTTTACAAATCTAAACATGTATGCTCTAGTACTACCAAAATTGAGGATTCTAACAACTAGGATATAAACAACTCACTCGATACCTTCGCTTATATAAAGTCTATATATCAAAAGATTTACAAAGCAGAAGACTATAACATAGAAGCAGTAGATGAGATTACTCAGAATCTTACTCAAGTATCAGAAGAACAAAACACACTGCTAGTTAAAAATATCAGTGAGAAAGAGATCAGTAAAGTTATTGACGAACTACCTAACAACAAAGTACTAGGATCTGCTGGTCTCGCCTGCAAATTCTATAAAAATACAAAAGAAGAGATCCTACTACTCCTAGCAAACCTCTTCAATAACATACTAGACTCAGGAAATATGCCAAACTCATAGAGCAAAAGTATTATTACCTTAATACCCAAAAAAGCAGACAATCTTAAAGATATCAATAACTAGAAACCAATTTCTCTAGTAAACAGTGATACAAAAATATTTATAAAGATCTTAGCTAACAGAATAAACCCTATTTGTAACAAAATTATTGAACTAACACAACAGGCTTTTATTAAAAATAGATCTATAACTGATACAGCTTTAGATATCCTTATGATTATGAGAAATCAGACAGATCAATCTAAACAGCACTAGCTCCTCTTACTCAATTAGCAAAAGGCTTTTGATAGGGTCAATCACTCATATCTTCAACTAGTTTTCAAAAAAATGAACTTTGACTTAAAGTTTATTCAAATAGGTAGCTCTCTCTTTGCAATACAACAAGTCTTTATCACAGATACAGACAAAATATCTGAACCTTTTAAAGTAGAACAAGGAGTTAGGCAGGGAGACCTACTATCTCCACTTTTATATATAATAGCTTTCTCTCTTTATCTAAAAGCATTACAAGATAACATTCAAAGAATCTGATTTAATAACTATACATTTAAGATTGTAGCCTATACTGATGACCTGACCATAGGAATAAGCTCTATAACAGACTAGGAATACTTCAAAAATATTACATTAAGATACGAGCATACCTCAAATACACTTATTAACAAAAACAAAACTATACTAGTACCACTTACAGAAAATGCTAAAAGGGTTTACCTTGATGACTTAGAAATACTCAAAATTTACAAGGACAATAACCCTCTTACCATTTTAGGTTTTGAAATAGACGGCAAAGACAACTCCTCTAAAGATACTTAGCAAGCCATGATTAAGAAAATTAAGAAGAAAATTGAATACTTTGCAACATGTAACTTGTCATTTAAGGGAAAGATATTACTTACCAAATCTCTAGTCATATCTAAAATTTGGTATCTAGTCTATCTTCTGCCACCTAGCAGAAAGCAATTAAATAAGATCAATATAGAGATTACTAAGTAGATCAAGAGCAACTCTAGAATGCTACCTCATTACTCTACATTTCAACTAAATCTAGAGCAAGGTGGCTTAAATACTCCAATTCTGAATAACATGCTTAACTCAAGACTTATCTCAATATGGATTAAACTTCTCTCTAGAGACTGCTTCTGAGCTAATATTGAGAGAGATAT